GTGTGTGTGTGTGTGTGTGTGTGTGTGTTATTGGATCTGGGGGTTGCCTCTGCTGGGAGAGGCGCCTGGCTTTTCCAGCGGGAGGGAAAGCTGGATTGCCCTAAAGGGATCGTGCTTTTATTATATTTTTTAAATGCATTTTGGAAGAGGGGGAAGCAATGAATCTTGATAAGTGGAGCCTCCAGAGGGGGAAGGAGCCTACCTTGGAGCAGCAGAGGATGATGGGGTATGATAAGTGGAGCCTCCAGAGAGGGATGGAGTCTACCTTGGAGCAGCAGAGGCTGATAAGGCATGATAAGTGGAGCTTCAATGGCGCTGCAGGGCACTGTGGTGTGTGATCTGGTTTGTGAATGAACCCATGGGGAGAGGATGTAGTCTCACTGCCCCAAAAGTTGGAGCTGGTCCAGTCCCCTCCCCCCACTACTCTTCTCCCCTCCTCCAGTTCATCTCGCTTATCTAACACAAATTTTGAATGAACCTGTCGGGTGCGTTGCACATGCCCAGCCATTCTGCATCCTGTCACCTATTTATCCTTCCGATGACTTGTCTTCAGCTTGGCTGATGCAAGATCGAAAACTTTATGCAAATCCCAGGAACGACAAGCTTGGACATAATTTGCAAGCCGGCAGGGTTACCTGTGAACAAAGGGTCTTCAGGTGTGCTTGCCAGCAGAGAGGGGCCCCCCTTAAGGCTTTTATAACAGGTGAGATGCCTGGAGTTGCCTTGTCGAGGAGACCGGTGTCGTCCAAATTCAATAAACCTATAATAAAATAAATGGGAACTCGAGGCCTCCGTTGTGTGTGTGTGTGGGGGGGTGATACAGCCTGAAACCCACCCACCCCTTTTTTGGCCTTGCAACCAATAGGATCCCAGAATGTAACCGTGCAACCATATTTCAGCCCTGACTCACGAGGAACTGGATCATCTTCCAGAGCAAATCTGGGCTTTTTTCTTTTCTTTTCCTTTTTTTAAATTATTTCAAGAAACTGGACCTCTAGTCCTCAAGGCTTGTACAAATCAGCATTTTGCATTGGGCTTGGAACCATCTTTCAGCTGTAGTTCAACGTAGCTTTAAATCAGCTGCCTGGTTTCTCTTCCCCTTTGCCTTTCCTCTCTATCTCATCCTGTAGAAAAGAGAGGGGGGGGGGAATGCATTGTGTGAATGCTGTCGTGTGTGTGTGTGTGTGTGTGTGTGTGTGTGTGTGTGTGTGTGTTGATTTCCCCCAAAGAGGGCAGGTTGTGCGTTTCCATGTGCCCAGTAGGCTGTAAAAAAGGAACATTGAATAAGGTTTCTCGTTTCTTCCAAGGGGTGGGGGGGATGATTTTAGTTTAGTTTACCTTATTGTTAATTGCACCTCGTGCAACGAAATTAAATGCCATCTTCAGTGTACATTATGACTATGAAAATAAAACACAAACGCACATCCTTCACATTCTATACAATTGAATTGAAGAGCCTTGATATTGCATGAATATTGCACAATACAGGAGAATTAAATAGAGTTTGCTGCCCTGGGATGGAAGCTGTTTTCTCTCTCTCCCCCCCCCCCCCCGCCCCAGTTTTTAGGTTGCTAATTTTTGCAATGAGCAGGAATAAGACAGCTACCGAGGAGATTTTGAACTACAGGTAGTGCTTGACTTACAACAGTTCATTTTGTGACCGAAGTAAGAACGGCAATGAAAAAAAACCCTGATTAATGACCATTTTTCAGACTTACGACCGTCGCATCATCCCCTTCAAAATCCAATGTTTGGCCACTGACTCATGTTTATGAGGGCTGCAGTGTCCAGGTGTGTGTGTGTGTGTGTGTGTGTGTGTGTGTGTGTGTGTCATGCTATCCTCTTTGCAATCTTCTGACTAGCAAAAGTCACTGGGTTCACTTAACCACCATGTAAAACTCACTTAACCATAGCAATAAAAATTTGGGGCTCAATTGTCGTAAATCGAGGACATCTCCCGTGGGAAGAGGTGCTATAGGTCTTATAGTTCCGGCCACTTGGGACATTACGACTTTCCTGCTTTGGGCCCTAAAGTGTCAACGCGTGTGCGGATACACAACACATTTGATCCGTTGTGTCTTGCAATGCTGTTGTATATTTAAATCTGGGCCTCCTATTTACCCGTGGAAGAATAACCAGGCAATTGTTTTCTCTCTTGATTCTTGATGTGAAAAATAAATGCGGCGTGTCTTTGGATAGATGGGGAAGGGGAATTTTAAGCCAAGGTCCCCTGTGATTCTTTTTGCAAACTTAAAAGAGATTGTTGTTATCTTTCCCCCACCCCCCCAAAAAAAATATGTGCAAAAGCATTTGATGAAAGCTGTTGCCCTCCTTTTCACATTTTTTGCTCGGCTGATGCTGGAGTTTGCAGGTGTGATTGTGGGTGTGGGTTTGTGAAACGGAGGGGGGATAGGATGGAAAATAAATTAGGTATCATCCCTGGGTTTAGTTTCAAAGCAACTTTGTTTTGCCCGCTTCTCTTCTTCAAGTAAACAACGCTGCTAGCGCAAACCAATTCTATGTTCAGAGACCTGGAAAAATAAATGACAGATTTGGTAAAACCTGAGATACAGGAACTCCTGAACTTACAACCGTTCATGTAGTGCCCATTTGGAGTTACAACAGCATTAAAAGAAAAAGGTCACCTTTTCCACACTTATGACTGTTACAGCATTCCCACGGTCACATGATGAAAATTCAGGCGCTTGGCAACTGACTCATACTTACGACGGTTGCCCAGGGATGACGTGATCTCCTTTTGCCACCTTCTGACAAGCAGAATCAGTGAGGAAGCCAGATTCACTGAACAACTGAGTTACTACTTACTTTACTTTATTCATTAGCCCTTGGGCCATATCCAAGTGCAGAGCTCCGGACACAAATTATTACTAAAATCTGATTAAAAAAAAAAAAAATTAAAATGGAATTGGAATAAAAGACATTTTAAAACGAAATTGCAAAAGAATACAATAATTTCATGTATAGATAAATAAAATAACGATAAAATTATGTTTCAGTATCGCCCCTAGAGTCTTCTACCCCAATCAGTCCCACATATGCCGATTTCAACCAAACCATTTTGCTTAAGTACTATGCTGTGTTAAATGTTATTTTCAGATTGTGTTACTACTCGTGTTTTCCCAAAAATACAACCTACCCTGAAAGTAAATCCTAGCTTCATTTTTTTACACATGCGCCCAATATAAGCCCTACCCCCTAATAAGCCCTAATTAAGACCCTCCCACTCCAGAGTGCACTGGTAAAAATTAAGCTAGGGTGTGGGTGGAGGGTGAAGCTGCCCGACTACTTACCTTTGGACAGTTGCAGCCAGGCCTCGCACACCCCGACACCTGCCTTGCCAGCCGATTCCTTCTGAAGCTGGCAGGCTGGCAAGGTTTTCCTGAAGGCTCTGGAGCTGATAACAAAGTTCTGGATCGATCCTGAGCTCTATTATCGGCGGCAGAGGCCTCTAGGAAAGCCTTGCTGGACCTAGAAGAAGCTCCTGAGGCCTCTGACAGCAAAAAGGTGGCCGGGGGCGATGCGCGCAAGTGAGGTTAGTCAGTGGAGGACATCCCCCCCAAAATAAGACATGGTGCCTTTTTTGGGTGGCAAAAAAAAATAAGACAGAGTCTTATTTTCAGGGAAACATGGTAACTTAATAATTTCAGTGATTCACTTAACAACTATGGCAAGGAAGGTCGTGCTCTGACCCACACCTTTTTCCAACAAATGGAACAGAAACCTGTTAATGCTTCTGCAAAATAATGAACTGTGATAAGCACAAGCCTTGCCAAACTGTGCGAGACTTGCCAAAAGATAACAGACAAGAAATACTTTGCAATACAAGAATCTTCAAATACAAACTCAGGATACTGGAATGTCCACGAGGCTGGAGTTCCAAAACGTCTTTGCCTTCTGCAAAGTATGTTCGTTTCAAAGCTGGCTTTTATCTTCTTGAAGGAGGGGCACTCTTGGAGCCTTACTCCTGAGTCACCTGTGCTGCTGCAGCTGCTCTTTCCTACAAACAACCCTGCATGCACGCACACTTGGCACAGGCTCCTCGGGAACCTCCTCATCGCTGCTGCCAGCCCCCACAATCTCTGAAGGCAGCAGTCCACTCCCTGATGGTCCTGGCCCCTCATCTGAGTCCTCGCTCTCCTTAGCCGTCCGCACCTGCTGCCGGCTAACCACAACAGGTGGGGGAAAAGTCAGTTGTCTTTAACAACAGAAGCATTGGGCTCAATCGTCATAAGTCGAGAACTAACTGTATTAACTTTTAAGGGGAAGAGGAGTAGAATTGGGGTGCCTTCTGGTACCCTTGGCACCGTGTGATAGTTACTTAGAATTTCCCTTCTGTAAATAATCCTCTTCCCCTTCCCTCCATTCTTTTTTATTTTTTCTTTCTCATTTACGCATCTCTTCCTGCTTATTCTCCCAGGGAAATAAAAAGGAGAGCAAATAACCAGAAGCGATTTCTGTTTGCTCTAGCAATTTCAGAGATCTGGTTTGTTTGCCTGGGGCTCTCCCCCCCCCCCCACCAGAAGCCAAGATGGAGCCATCATTTGTCCGCTAAATCACGAAGAGAAAAATAGCACCAGAGGGTTTTGGGGTTTTTTTTTTTTTTGCTTCCTTCCTTTGATGTATTAGCCAAAACACAGAAATTATTTGTCTGATTTTGATTGGGCTTTGCATTACAGGTGCTTGAGAAAGAGAGAGAGAGAGAAGGGAGCTGGCTGTTTGTTCCCGAGAAGGAAATAGGCAACCAATAATTTTATTTTATTTTATTTTATTTTTTTCCCCCCAGGCCTGACAGGTGGCTTCTGCATCCGATGCTGCGCGTGAGCAGATGGAGAGTAAAAACTTGTAAAAAAAAAAACACGTTCGATTTGTGAACAGCTTCATTTGCTTTCTTTTGAGAAAAAAAAAAAAGGAGGGAAGGAGTTTAAAACTCAGGTTTAAACTCTTGCCAGTTAAAGCAACTAGCCGATTGGTTTTTTCTATAGGGACCATAATTAAAGAGAGGGGTTTTTTAATGGGGGTTTCTTGTTTTTGCTTCCAGCCAACTACAGCGAGTTGTACCACTGGTCTGTACAGCATTATTCGGATTTCTGGGCAGAGTTTTGGAAATTCAGCGGGATTGTCTTTTCTCGGCTTTATGATGAGGTAAGCTGGCAGGGTGACAAGAGTTGGAAGGGACCTTGGAGGTCTTCTAGTCCAACCCCCTGCTCAGGCAGGAGACCCTATACCCTTCCAGACAAGTGGCTGGCTGTCCAGTCTCTTCTTAAAAACCTCCCGGGATGGAACGCCCACAACTTCTGTAGACAATCTGTTCCACCGATTAATTGTTCTCCCTTGTTAGGAAATTTCTCCTTAATCCCAGGTTGCTTCTGTCCTGGATTAATTTCCACCCTTTGCTTCCTGTCCTGCCTTTGGGTGCTTTGAAAAAGAGCTTGAGTCCCTGTTCTTTGCGGCAACCGCGGAGATATTGGGACACAGCTGTTTTTTTGATCACTGGATTATTCAGATTAATTGGGGACTGAATCACGCAGAAGATGGTGGGTGTGACTTTCCACCTCATTCTAGGTCTTCTTCTCCAGCTTGGGTGAGCGAAAGTTGACGGGGCCATTGCTATCTATCATTTGGCAAGTCAATATCTCCTCTTTCCTGGCCTTTTTAAACTATTTCTCCGCGGGAGAAAGTCGGTAGGGATTGTCTGTCATCCCAGGTCATGGTTGTTCCAAGGATGCTTTTTCAAGAGGCAGCTGGGCTTTCCGTTTTTTTCTTTGAAGATGTTTCTCTTCTCATCCAAGAAGCTTCTTCAGCTCTGTCAGGATGATGGGGGAATGGAAGGATTTATATTCCTTGCGGACAAGCTGGTCATTTGCATCCTTTTAGAGGGTCGTTGGGGCCACCTGGAGGGTTTACCTGAAAAAAGCACCTTTGAGACAACTATGATCTGGATGACTGAGAATCTCTACAGGATTAGACTGGGTTAATACTGGGATGGGGCACCACCAGGAAATCCACCAGGGCCCATTTAAAAAAAAATTCCTTTGGAAGAAGGCACTGCTTGCCTTCCTTTCTTCCTCTCACATCTTCCTTCCATCCATCCATCCATCCATCCTTCCCTCCTTCCACATCTCCCTCTCTCCTTCCTTCCTTCAAGTTTTCTTCAAGAAAACTACAGGGAGTCCTCAAACTTATGACTTGTCGATTCTTAGCTACACAATTTGGGATGAACACCCTTTGAGTGGTGTGGGAATAGAATGGATTTTGAGAGAGGGGAAAAAATAAAATTGCAGACTACAGGAACCATTTGCACTACTTGGGTGACAGATAAAGTGGCCTCAATGACCCTCTAAAAGGATGCAAATAACCAGCTGTCTGCAAGGAATATAAATCCTTGCCCGCCATCCGGTCAGAGCCGAAGAAGCTTCTTGGATGAGAAGCAAAACATCTTCAAAACAAAAAACAAGAAAGTCCAGTTGCCTCCTGAAAAAGAAAGCATCTTTGGGACAAGTTGGGACAAGTTCTGTAGATCCCCAACAAGGTCATTGCAGAGTTGATTTTTGAGTCCAAGCTCTGCTGAAGTTGGTGGACGTAGCTTGTCTTCTCGGCCATGCGTGGAAGAGTTGGTCTGGCATGGCCTTCATCCAGGAGGTCTTTCGACTTTTGATCTGATCTGGGGATTTCCTAAAAGCCTCCCGCTCATAAAATGAAGAGTTTGGATCTTAATTAGCATCTTTTAAGGTCAGGTAAAGATGGAAGGCTCTCCACGGGTAGTCCTTAACTTACGACTGCCAATAAGAACTGGAAAACTCCTCGTTTTTGAAAACTCCACTCTTTTTACTCCTGTCAGAACTTCGAACGGTCTCTAAACGGTCATAAGTTTGAGGACTCCCTGTAGTTTTCTTAGCAGAAGGCAAGCAGCGCCTTCTTCCAAAGGAACTTTTTTTAAATGGGCCCATCCGATTGGATTTCCTGGTGGTGCCCCATCCCAGTAGTAACCCAGTCTGGTCCTGTTTTTCTCCAAGGGGGGGAACACATCCATCTAACTGGACTTAATGGAGCCCCCCAGATGGTGAGGAGGGACAGAGAGAGAGAGAGACCCTCATAACACTGTTCCTTTGTGCCCTACGTGGCTGCAAAGTCTTCTGTTAAGGATGCTGGATGTGTTCCCACCAGGTGATCGATCCCTCCAAGAGCATCGTGGATGTTCCCGAATGGTTTAAAGGCAGCCGTTTAAACTATGCCGAAAACCTTCTGAAGCACGAGGAGAACGATAAAATCGCCCTCTATGCCACACGTGAGTCCCCCATGCGAATCTTCATAATTGCCGGATCTACGACTGTTCACATCTCTCTGTGTCTCTCCCTCCTTCTCTCCTTCCCTTCCTCTTTCTTTCTCTCTCTCCCTCCATTCTCTCTCTTTCCTTCTCTCTCTCCCTCCTCTCTTTCTCTCCCTCTCTCACCCTCCCTCTCTCTATTTCTCTCTCCCTCATTCCCTCTCTATTTCTCCCTCCTCTCTTTCTC